GCTTTACTCGCACCCTTGGCCCATGCAACCCACGCACGCATGCACGCACCACCACATTACTCGCCCCCTAGCACCGTGCAACCCACGCATGCACGCATGTAAGCAACTCCGCTTTACTAACCCCCTTACCCCATGCAACCCATGCACACACGCATGTAAGCAACCCCGCTTCACACACCCCCTCGGCCTATGCAACCCACACACGCATGCCCGCAACCCTGCTTTACTTGCCCCGCCCTTTGCCCCATGCAACCCACACACGCATGCAAGCCACCCCGCTTTACTGGTAGGGCCGCCATGTGAGCGTGTGCATTTAGGCGTGTTGAATGCACGTGAGCAGTAAGCAACACGGGTGGCGTTGTAACGTAGATACGCTACTATCCTAGATAGTTAAGTGCGGAAGCGTAGGATCTTAAGATTAAGGAGAATGTGCAGAGTATTGTTAGGTTGATTCCCGAAGGAGTCAGTACGGGCTCGTAGTCAGGACTCGGACCTGAATCACAGTGTGTAATAAGTGATAGCACCTGCTCTACCCCAAGGGCTTTTATGCATCACGGACCCCGTATCCGTGTGTCGTGCGGTGCCGGCGGCTGCCTGGCTCCACCCGACCGATCGGTGTACGACCATGCGTCTGCACCTAGCAATCCCAATCTACACACCACAGGAGAGGGATTGTTCTACCTTATATCTTATTTCCTTAATTGTTTATTACATTATTATTATGCCCCGCTTCGCGGGCTGCATATTGATATATAATTATTGTAGCATTATTGTCGGTCGGTACTCTTATCCATCCATGCCATGGCATTTCTGTCTAAGTGTAACCATCCCTGCTACACTCCCCCCCCCTTGAAGCGAACGTCCCGAGAGCGGGTTTACTGTTTTATTTTCTTCGCCCGTGAGCTGCGTCGCAAGCCTGCTGGTTGCTGTGCTGCTCCCCTTGCCTCATCCCTTGCGGGTTTTGGCTCAGGCTCTGGTGCTGGTCGCTTCCGGGTGGTAGTTTGAGGTAGAGGCGGTGTCTTGGTTGCTTCCTTGAGCTGTGCATGGGCAGTTGCCTTGCGTTTGGGCTCTGGAAGTCTTGCCTCGTACGCCTCAATTTCCCGTTCCACCGGTTCGGATTCTTTCAAGGTCTCCTCTGGTTCCCAGCTGTTTTCTGTTGCCGGAAAACCTTGCCATTTCACAAAGTACTCCCGTTTGTATCGACCGCGGCCGACCGGTATGTCCTTGTGATCCACTATGGCTTCGACAGACCAGTATTCTTCACCGCCCAGGTGAAATGCTGGGGGTGGCGGCGTTTTGCCATCCGAGCGGTATGCTTTGAGCAATGATACATGGAACACTGGGTGAATGCGCATCTCTGGAGGCAAATCGAGTTTTGCTGCCGTTGGCCCTATCATCTTACTGATGCGGTAGGGACCAATGTATCGCGGCATGAGCTTTCTTGTTCCAGGGGTTCGGAATGCAATGTTCTTTGTACTGAGCAACACCTCTTGACCCGGTGTGAACGCTACAGCCTTCCGTCGGCCGTCGGCGCTCGCCTTTTGGCGCGATTGTGCGGCCTCTAGGCTTGCCTTGGCTCGCGCGAGTCGCTCGCGGAGTTTGGACTCAAAAGCAGCAGCTGAAGGCACTCTGGTGGGCAGCCCAAGGTCAGCCGGGGTTCGCGGCTGCCGCCCGCCGTTCAGTAAGAATGGGGTGGTACCAATTGACTCTTGCCGTGAGCTGTTGATCGCGAATTCAATCAGCGGCAGATGGTCTTCCCAGTCATCGTGAGTGGGTCCAATGTAATGCCTTAGCGTCTCCTCTAGGAGGCGGTTCATCCGTTCTGTTTGCCCGTCGGTTTGCGGATGGAACGCTGTGCTCATGTAGAGATGAGTCCCAAGTAGGCGTGTTACTTCCTTCCAAAACTTGCTAGTAAAGCGAGGGTCCCTGTCAGAGACAATGTTCTTTGGAAGGCCGTGTTGCTTGAAGATTGTAGACACGAACAGTTGTGCTACATCCTCCGCTGAGGCGCTAGTGTGTGTGGCAGCAAAGTGGGTCATCTTGCTGAGCCGGTCCACAAACACAACAATAGCGTCATGCCCGTTCTTCGTGGTTGGCAGCTGTGTAATCAGATCCATGGACACGCTTTCCCACACTTCCTGTGGAATTGGAAGAGGTTGCAGCAGACCCCCCGGCTTGCTGTTAAGGGGCTTGTTTCTCTGGCATGCAGGACAGTTAGCAACGTAGTTGTGCACTTCTGTGTATAGGCCAGGCCACCAGAACCGTTGTTCAATGGCAGCTTGCGTGCGGGCAGCACCTCTGTGGCCACTAAAGGGTGTGTCATGAAACTCCTTTAGTATCTGCATGCGGAGCTCTTGGGTATTGGGTACGACTATCTGGCGCTTTCTGTACCAGAACCCATCCCTTCGTTTGAACTGCTTCCTCGCTGCCTTCAGCTTTTTTACGAGCTCAGGGTCTCCAGCATACCCTGCACGTATCTTTGCGCCAAAATCACTACCCGTAAGTGACATGGCTAGCACCGTTAGCACCGCTTCATGTATGCGACTTAAGGGATCAGCCACATTAATCCTCCCAGGACGGTACTCCCACTTCATGCCAGTGAAGCGCGTTAAGTACTCCATCCACCTTGCTTGTCTGCGTGACAAGATGCCAGCTCCGCGCTGTTCATGGAGGTACACTAGTGGGTGGTGGTCTGTGATCAACAGGAATTCACTCCCCTCTAGGTAACAGCGCCATTCCTCGAGAGCGTGTATCACTCCCAAGCACTCTTGGTCCGTGGTAGTATAGTTATACTCCGCGCTAGTGAATTTCTTGCTTGTGTAAGCTAGTGGGTGACCGTCCTGCATGAGTACGGCGCCCGTACCATTCACTGAGGCGTCGGACCAAACCTCAAAAGGTTTGTTGAGCTGGGGAAGGGCTAAGACTGGTGCGTTACTCAAGGCTTGCTTTATGCCATCGAACGAAGCTTGGCATTGCGGGGACCAGACGAAGGGCACTTTCGCGCTGGTCAATGCTGTCAAGGGAGCTGCTAAGCTCGAATACCCCTGGATGAAGCGTCTGAAATAGTTAGATAGGCCTAAAAACTCTCTTAGTTTGCGAACGTTTTGTGGTTCGGGCCAGTTCTTTACGGTAGCGACTTTAGCATCGTCGACCTTCAGACCTTCTCGGCTCACAATGTGGCCTAGGAATTTCAACTCTTGTTTGTTGAATTCACATTTTGACAGCTTTGCCTTGAATTGGTGCTCTCTCAGCAGCTCAAGCACTGTGCGAAGGTGCTGTGCATGCTCTTCTGGCGTTTTGCTGAACACCAGGATGTCGTCTAAGTATACCAGGACGAATTTGCCGATATGCTTAGCGAATATCCCATTCATCACAGATTGAAATGTTGCAGGCGCATTGGTCAATCCGAAACAAAGAACCCTGAAAGCGAACTGACCCATCCCAGGCGCTATGAAGGCCGTTTTAGGGATGTCTTCCGGAGAGATGCGGATCTGATAGTAGCCTTGCTGGAGGTCTAGCGACGAGAAAAGTCGCGCACCTTGTAGCGTGTCAAAAATTTCTGTGATGTTGGGCATTGGGTACCGCCGCTTGACTGTAAGCTTGTTCAAGGCTCTATAGTCAAGACACATTCGCAGTTCGCCGCTAGCTTTTTGTACGAAAAGTACTGGGGCGCCGTATGGGGAGTTGGACGGTTCTATGTAGCCCTTTGCTAGCAAGTCTGTCACTTGTTTTCGCACTTCCTCCATTTCTTTTGGTGACAAGCGATACATGCGCTTTGATGGCGGTTCCGCATTTGGCACGAGTGGGATAGTATGGCCGATGCTCCTGTCAGGAGGCAAGCCTTGAAGCTCATCGAAAACGTCCTTGTACTCTTTGAGTAGCGCCTGTATTTCCTGGTCCGGTACCAGGTCGCTGGGTTCTCGCCTGTTGCTTTCCCCAACTGTTGCTGTGGCGAGCATGGCTTCGCCGTTGGACGCTGGCTTCTCTTCTCGCACGAGCATGAGGTAGCTACGTGCCCCACGTGCTAGAGCTCTGGCAGCTTGTTTGGCTGTCAGAATCCCCATTTCTTCGTCTGCCGATGTGGGAATTGTTGCCATGGTAAGGGCGGTTGCCGCTGTAAGAAGCGGTTCTCCACACAGAGGGTCTTCTAGACCGTCTTCGGCATAGTTTGGAGTAAGCACGACTTGATTTCCTTGGTGGCGAATGGTAAGGGTGTCCTTATCCCAGTTCATGTTTGCTTGGCGCGCTTTGAGCCAATCGGTACTGAGTAGAACATCAATCCCTGGCACTCCGTCGCGTATGACAAGCAGTGTTACCCATTCGGCATGCTTTCCAAACCGTAGCTTAGTGCGTACTTGTCCTAAAAGGTTGGACACGTCGCCTGAGGCAACTCGCACTGTTTTGGTTTGAGATGTTCGGATAAGGAGTGACAGCCTAGCAGCAGTTGTATGCGCTATGAATCCATGTGCTGTTCCGCCACAGTCTGCGCCACTGTCGACAAGGATGCGTGCAGGGGAGTCTGCTATCCTTCCATCGAATGTCATTGTGTAGCTTACGCCTGCGTTGAGCGTGTTAAGCTTAGCTGTTGGGGCGGGAGGGTCCCACCATAGCTGCATAGGCCATGGTGCACCGGGTAAGTCTTTTCGTGTTCCTTCTCCGGCTGGGACTGTAAACAGTTTGGATCCAGCTGGGTACGTCTTGTACAACACGTATCCTGCCTTTTTGAACAGCTGTTCTACATGTGGCCACTGCGGTGCTACAAACATTGCGCCTGTGCGCTCTGGAGCCTTAGCTTTGCACTTCGCGTAATGTTGCTGCCACTCTTTTATCTGTGTATAGGGGGAATTTACCCAGAGTAATTCGCCTGAGACATCCTGGTCAAAGAACGATTTACTAGGGCAGGCAAAGCGTTCGCACAGTCGATTGCTTCCATCACAGTTACATGCGGCGTCGTATGTAAACGACCGTCCAAGCTCAGCCTCTAAGCGTCTAAACTCGTCAGGTGAAAACATACGGTCCGATGTCTCAGCCATTGGCGGAGGCGGCAGCAACTCGACTTCTCCGGCGCCGTTACCCTCTAAGGTATCAGCTGTTACCGGTCCCCTTAAACGCTCGCCAACCTCCTAGTTCTGCATCTCATCACCAGCACCGAAATCATTGCCGTCGCCGCGTCCGCGCCCACGGCCACGTCCACCGCCCCGTCCCCCGCGTCCTCCACGGCCTCCTCGGCCGCCATCGGGACGCTTCCAGGACGGAACCGGAGCGTTGTTGGTGACGTTGCGGATCCGCTCGCACTCGCCCGAGCGCATGTGCTCCTGGACATCGGTAGTCCGGAGTCCACAGTTGCGGCAGCTCACCGCGTTCCGCTTGAAGGGCCGGTGTGCCTTGTGGATTTTTGGGCGGGCAGTTTTGGCAAAGTTAATGTTAGCGGAGGTTTTCAAAGAAGCGACGCGAGCACGAACTTCTTGACCGGTTGCGTATTTTATCAGGTCATCTAGTTCCTTCCAGTCGCGACCGGAAGCATCAGTGCCGCATGCTTTCTTAAACTGGTTAAGTAAACCGTGCAAGTACCAGCCTATCATCTCGCCCTGGGACATGTCCCGAGCATCGCGAGTTATGTCGCGAAATCGCTGAGTGTACTCTTGCACGCGTTCCCCAGTCTTTTGGTGATGTTCACCACTGAATAACCTATCCCGAACCTCTTGCTCCGTATGCCTACGCACGTCCCCATATTGCAACAGGAATGCATCGCGTAGCTCAGGCAAAGTAAGCTTTTGCCCCTTATCCGCATACATTTTAAGCAAGGCCTGACCCCATTCTTGTGCTTTTCCCGTTAGCCAAAAGACAAAATGCTCGGCAGGGGCGATACCGCTAGTTTGCATGTACTGGACGAGCGAATCGAACCAAGTCTGAGTACACGAAATATGCGTATCGGTCTTCCCGTGAAACTTAACAGGAATAGGCAATCGACGGTTGTTACTAACCTCGTGCCCGCTGTTGGGGTAGGACGGCTGGGACGGTCCACCACGGTTGTTCATCGCCGCGGCCAGGTAGTTAGGCGCAGGCGGGGCGTTGCTTGGCCCAGCTCCGGGGTCGTTGTAGCCCACATTGCGGCGGTTGTTGTAGTGCGCGTAGTTGGGGATGCCGGCTGCCTCATCGGCGCCCGCATCCTCAACCGCTGCCCGCTGGCGACCATCTAGGGCGCTGAGAACCTTACTCAGGAAATATGTATTGATATCTGCGTCCCATAGGTGATCGCCCATGCCCTGGGCCTGCATCTCCGCCAGGATGTGGTCCTTCAGGATTTTGCGCAGCGTCGCGGGGTCCTCAATAAGCCTCACCGCATTAGCATCGATGCGCTTGTTGATAAGGGCCTCGATCTTCTGCCTGGACGTGACCGGCGTAGTGTTGAGCCGCGGCTGCTGCTGGGCATGATGCGGTGCGACCCCTTGCTGCGCTGCCGGCTGGTGAGCCGGCTGCTGCAGCTGAGCTGCAGGCTGCTGGTCAGGCGTGTTAGGCTCTTCGGCAACGGCGGCCGCCTGCTGCGAGCCGCCGGCGCCTCCCCCAGCCCGACTTGCCTTGTGGTGGTTGGGCTTGCTCTTCTTCTTGGAGCCCTTGTTCTTCTTCTTCTTCTGCGCCGAGTTGCTGGGCTCACCACGCTGGCTGCTGGTGCTCATCGGGTCACTCAGCTCACCCGACTCGCTACCAGCGCTGCTGCTGGACGCATTGCTGACCGTGAGCGAAGGCAGGTTGTTCATGCTCTTCTCGAGCAGTTGCTCCTCCAGCTGCTTAATCTGCGCAGCTGCCTCAGCACGGTCGGCAGCCGCCTTAGCGCGGTCGGCGGCCGCCTGAGCGCGGTCCTTGGCTGCCTGAGCGCGGTCCTTAGCGGCCTGCGCCTCCACTGCGTCCAGCCGCAACTTCAGCTCCCTGGCCAACGAGTTCATGACTCTGTCACGACGCTGAGCGGCCTCAGTCTGCGCCTCCTGCGGCTGGGGGCCCTCAGCCTCCTGCATGTCAGGGGATTGTTGCGAAAGAGTTGCGGTAGGGTCGCTCAAGGATATGTTGTAAAGCTCTTTCGTCTGTGCCCTTATCTTTTTCTGCATTTCTCTTTGCACACGAGCATGGCTAGTGACAGGGCTGGCCGCCGGCCTTTGCCTTTGCGCCGCCATCTTGTATGCCTCAGCAATTGATATGGTCTTTTTCTTCTTAGGTAGGGCCTTGCCCTTGCGACCCATTTGAGGTCTCACCTTCGGAGCCTCAGCCTCAGCATTGGGCTGGGCAGTGGGCTCGTCGGCACCACTCTTGGTGTTGGAATCAGAAGACATTTTCCTTATATCCCCTGGTCGGAGGATACCAGTTGTAACGTAGATACGCTACTATCCTAGATAGTTAAGTGCGGAAGCGTAGGATCTTAAGATTAAGGAGAATGTGCAGAGTATTGTTAGGTTGATTCCCGAAGGAGTCAGTACGGGCTCGTAGTCAGGACTCGGACCTGAATCACAGTGTGTAATAAGTGATAGCACCTGCTCTACCCCAAGGGCTTTTATGCATCACGGACCCCGTATCCGTGTGTCGTGCGGTGCCGGCGGCTGCCTGGCTCCACCCGACCGATCGGTGTACGACCATGCGTCTGCACCTAGCAATCCCAATCTACACACCACAGGAGAGGGATTGTTCTACCTTATATCTTATTTCCTTAATTGTTTATTACATTATTATTATGCCCCGCTTCGCGGGCTGCATATTGATATATAATTATTGTAGCATTATTGTCGGTCGGTACTCTTATCCATCCATGCCATGGCATTTCTGTCTAAGTGTAACCATCCCTGCTACAGGCGTGCTGGGCAATACGATATGGGCCTGACATTTACCACAGCCCTTCACACGTCAGCTCACCACTAACGAATGCAGTTCAGCCCAACTTTTTCTCAGCACCCGATTTGCAGACAGATAAAGAAGGACTAGCAAAGCTGGTAACAATAAGAAGGCGCGATAATCACAAGTTGGCAAACAAGGCCCTCCGAAAAATGGACGTCCTGTGTCCTTTTTAGTACGACAATTGTCGCTACTTGCCTATTTACTCCAGCGACACTGTTGGGTTGCCGAGAAAACAAAACGACACGCACTCATACTTATGCCCAAGTACAGACGATTGAAAGGCAAAACGGACCCGAGCACACTGCGATGCCAAAGCAACTTTCGACAACCACTAACCCACGTCCGAACCAAGCTCTTCTGCATAGCATTTATGATGTCTGAACTTTGATTTTTTTGATTTGATGTATCAAATGAGCGGGCGGGGTTAGGCTGTTAGCAGGACGATAACGTTGTCTTAGGTTGACTGACATACGTATCACGAAAGGCCACAACACGTTATCAGAATGCAGCATTTGAACTTGCTACGTGGCGCCTGAGCCATGTAGGAGACCTTCGCTAAAGAGCACCGCAGGCGAGTACGACTACATCCCGACTTCAAGCAAGGAGTCGACTCGACTTGCACACGGATACAAAGAAATATGACGACACCCTGACATCCTGACGCTAACAGAAGCCGGTTGGCCGTCTAAGGTGGAACTCAGTAAATCTAGACCGGGAAGCCAGCTTGAAGTAGTGCATGCTTATGTCTATGCCTAGAATAGCGGTACCTTCGCTTACAGCAAAAGAAGAGAGGGAAGCCGAGTAGGAGGTACGGCATGTAAGCGAGAGCCACCACATGTTTGGCGGCGCGTGCGTGTGAGCGTAGATTGATAGAGGGTGAGTTGGACAAAAGTGGCAAGCGACAAGGCGATTGGGTGGGGCACTGTGTGCGCAAGAGAGCAAGTTGGAGGCATGTACGAGAAGGCAGCAACGCAGCATGGGGAAACAACATCGCCCCCAAACCCCACCACAACCCAAGTTGCGACGGCCCCCCCCTGGCACGCCCCGCCATGTCGCCGTCGCCGGAGCAATGTAGCGACGTCGGAGGCCGACGTCGTAGACGGAGTCGCCGGAGCAATGTAGCGACGTCGTAGGGCGACGTGACCGTAAATCCCCCCGTAACGAAGTGGAGGGGAGGATTGGAGGACAGATCACCGCTAAAGTTCGTCTGTCTGTCTGTCTGTCTGTCTGTCTGTCCGTCCGTCCGTTCACAAAAGTGGTGGCGACGACCTTCCGGCGCTAAGCGTTCAGTCCTATCCTCAGCCAGCCAGAGGTCTCCAGTTCGAGCCGGGTAGCGACCTCTTTGCGACTTCCTCGGCACCCTTGGAGATGATGCCTGGGCCTATGGGGATGGTGTTTTGGGAGATCTCGAGTACGACAACACACTGTAGTACGGCAACGCAGTACGGCACGGGTTTCGACACGCCCTCCCACCCCCCTCCATGCTCCCCACTCCCCTCACCACCCCCTCGCCCCTCCAGCACCCCTGAACACCCCTGCATCACCGTGAGATGTACGGCAACGCAGTACGGCATGGGTTTCGACACGCCCTCCCACCCCCCTCCATGCTCCCCACTCCCCTCACCACCCCCTCGCCCCTCTAGCACCCCTGAACGCCCCTGCATCACCGTGAGGTGTACGGCAACGCAGTACGGCATGGGTTTCGACACGCCCTCCCACCCCCCTCCATGCTCCCCACTTCCCTCACCTCCCCCTCGCCCCTCCAGCACCCCTGAACGCCCCTGCATCACCGTGAGGTGTACGGCAACGCAGTACGGCATGGGTTTCGACACGCCCTCCCACCCCCCTCCATGCTCACCACTCCCCTCACCACCCCCTCGCCCCTCCAGCACCCCTGAACGCCCCTGCATCACCGTGAGGTGTACGGCAACGCAGTACGGCACGGGTTTCGAAACGCCCTCCCACCCCCCTCCATGCTCCCCACTCCCCTCACCACCCCCTCGCCCCTCCAGCACCCCTGAACACCCCTGCATCACCGTGAGATGTACGGCAACGCAGTACGGCATGGGTTTCGACACGCCCTCCCACCCCCCTCCATGCTCCCCACTCCCCTCACCACCCCCTCGCCCCTCTAGCACCCCTGAACGCCCCTGCATCACCGTGAGGTGTACGGCAACGCAGTACGGCATGGGTTTCGACACGCCCTCCCACCCCCCTCCATGCTCCCCACTTCCCTCACCTCCCCCTCGCCCCTCCAGCACCCCTGAACGCCCCTGCATCACCGTGAGGTGTACGGCAACGCAGTACGGCATGTGTTTCGACACGCCCTCCCATCCCCCTCCATGCTCCCCACTCCCCTCACCACCCCCTCGCCCCTCCAGCACCCCTGAACGCCCCTGCATCACCGTGAGGTGTACGGCAACGCAGTACGGCATGGGTTTCGACACGCCCTCCCACCCCCCTCCATGCTCCCCACTCCCCTCACCACCCCCTCGCCCCTCCAGCACCCCTGAACACCCCTGCATCACCGTGAGATGTACGGCAACGCAGTACGGCATGGGTTTCGACACGCCCTCCCACCCCCCTCCATGCTCCCCACTCCCCTCAACACCCCCTCGCCCCTCTAGCACCTCTGAACGCCCCTGCATCACCGTGAGGTGTACGGCAACGCAGTACGGCATGGGTTTCGACACGCCCTCCCACCCCCTCCATGCTCCCCACTTCCCTCACCTCCCCCTTGCCCCTCCAGCACCCCTGAACGCCCCTGCATCACCGTGAGGTGTACGGCAACGCAGTACGGCATGGGTTTCGACACGCCCTCCCACCCCCCTCCATGCTCCCCACTCCCCTCACCACCCCCTCGCCCCTCCAGCACCCCTGAACGCCCCTGCATCACCGTGAGGTGTACGGCAACGCAGTACGGCACGGGTTTCGACACGCCCTCCCACCCCCCTCCATGCTCCCCACTCCCCTCACCACCCCCTCGCCCCTCCAGCACCCCTGAACGCCCCTGCATCACCGTGAGGTGTACGGCAACGCAGTACGGCATGGGTTTCGACACGCCCTCCCACCCCCCTCCATGCTCCCCACTCCCCTCACCTCCCCCTCGCCCCTCTAGCACCCCTGAACGCCCCTGCATCACCGTGAGGTGTTCGGCAACGCAGTACGGCATGGGTTTCGACACGCCCTCCCACCCCCCTCCATGCTCCCCACTTCCCTCACCTCCCCCTCGCCCCTCTAGCACCCCTGAACGCCCCTGCATCACCGTGAGGTGTACGGCAACGCAGTACGGCATGGGTTTCGACACG